TTGAATAGTAGGAAATACTGTCTTATCACATTCAGATAGAGATTCCAAAACATTTTTATGTATATCTTTACCTGAAAGCAAAATCAAAATAGGTTTTCACAAAATATTTTTCAGTTAATAGTAATAATAAAGCCAACAAATAGAAAAAATTAGGAAATATCTATAGTACCTTCTAATTTGTGCCTGCACCACATTGAATACCAAATGTTAAGTTCGGATTGAATGTTATCCATCGGTAAATGTTTAAATAAGGTTTGCTCATTGATGATTGCAGACATGTATTCTATTGCGGGCTTAAGTGCTTTGTCATCTTTTACTTGTACTATATTACTTGGTACCAATTGCATTAATGCTAAGAGATTTTTATTTTCTTTATTGATAAAACGGGAATTTAAGTCTTCTAAAATACTGTCTAGTAGTGGAATGTATAAATTAATACGATAGTAATCTTCTGGTTTATCTATATTTGTTATGTTGCTTCTATATTTCTGACGTCCATAAAGTCTTGGTAGCTTTACTTCAACATTAAGTGTTTTTAATATATTTTCACTTTCTCTAAATATTGAATTAAATTCCTCATCACAGTTACTTCTATATTTTTTAAGAGTAGAAATTATGTCCTTGATATATTTAGATGCTGTGAAAATATCTTCATCTTTTCCTTGGAGTAATTTGCTGATAGGAAATGTTACACTTAATGTACTGGATAATACAAATATTGTTAAAATAAAATCACAGTTACAAATGGCAGATACTAAAATGTTGTATTTTGTTGAAGAGATATTGTCTTCCCATTGTGAAATTTCATTTAGTGCATCTACTATCTCTAATAAGGAATTTTTGAATTGTAGAACACTGTCATGTCTTTCTATCCAACGGGTTTCACACAACCCAGAAAGAGTGGTTCGATGTGACAAATTATTTTTAAGTACGAAATTACGCTTAGGAGAGACATGAAAAAATGAAATTACTTCTTTAATAACTCCTATACAGTTACGAACATATTGCACCGTGGATGACTTTGAAATACTCAAATTTAGAGCATGATTTGAGCATGGGCAGTGAATGGCATTTTTTGCATATTTTTGAATTTGTTGTACTGCACCTCGAGCTGTGGATACCATGACTGAGCATCCATCAGTGCCAATACCAACACATGTATCTAAATTGAATCCAAAATCTTTTAATATATTTACAACAGTTTCTCCTAATAGTTCTCCTGTAATTTTTGGCTCAGAGTGCTCAACACTTTCATCTTCCTCATTAATATCTGACAAATGTCCCTTTTCTTTGTCAAATATATATTTATGGCAATCTATAAAACCTATAAATCTTTCCAGAACTTGATCTTTGAAAACGTAACGGATATTTAAAGTGATTTGTGAAGCATTAGATATATCTGTAGTTTCATCAAATATAACACTATAATATTTGGCTTCATTTGCTTCCAACATAATAACATGTAAAATTTCTTGTCGACAACATTCAATGATCTCATTTTGAATGACATTACTGATATATGTTGCATTGGAATGAGATGTTCTTAAATGATTCTCAAGCAAATGATCACCAGAATCAACTCTAAATTTTAATATTTCTTTAAAATTACCACAATTTATCACTGATTCATTTTGTCCCCCAAACATTTCTCTACCATCGTCTCGATGACCACGAAGAGGTATGTTTTGTCGCCCCAAAAATACAATACTATCAATAATTGGCCGTAATCGAGCCCTGTTTTCTTGTATTTCTTCATTTCTTTTTGAATGTAATATATTTATTATTTCTTTAGACGGTTCAGAGTATGTGGTTAGAAAATCAATTGCTTGTTGTGCAGCATTCTTATGATAAATAGTATTATTGTGTACATCCAAAGCTCCATCTTTACCTAGCAATTTCGCATATTTTTTTAGGGGCTCAGTTACTAAGGTTTTTAATGGTTGTGTCTTATGCATTCCACCAAGACTTGAAGTCAGAAACAATACACAAGTTTTACAAAACAAACCATGTTTTATATTTGAATATTCTAACCACGAGTATTTCTCGAAATGATTGACACGCAAATACCGTTTTTCAGCTTTCCCTTTTTTTATNAATTAAATTAATTGTCACCGCCAGTAATGGGAATCGTGGCCAGTGGCGCAACAACCGGGGCTGATGGCGATGCCTAGCATCGGGGCCCTAAGACTCAAAGGGGCCCCATCATACTCGTAACCTGGAAGCCGGGAGGGTGTTTTTAATGCTAAAGAATTAAATCAATTCTGTGATCATTTAAAAGTTTTACCATAGTTAATTTTGATACCGATGAAATTATAATAATCAATAATTAATACGTAAGGACACAGTGTGGTAAGGTGCAGACCGTGCAGTCCGCAACACTATAAACACTATAATATGTATTATTTTTATCGAAATTACGACGACGCGCGACGTCGATCCCCGATAAGAATAATAAAACCATTGTTGCTTTTAGCTTTATATATTATTATGATTTATGACCCATGCGGGCTCTGGGCGGACTATACCAACGTGTTAAAATATATAGTATTATCAAAAACTGTTTTCTATATAATTGTGTAATATAGTAAATAATAATATGACAATTTATAAATGAAACGTCTATCGGTCTATCGCGTATGGTCTATGTCTCTATGATACTGTTGACAATATATAAATATACCGTTTTTCTTAGGGGCTACGGTCCTATGAAGTTATTTTTAAATTCCATGTAAAATGAATTAGTATAATATATGATATACATTGATTACGTCTGTTATAAACGTGAACTGTGAAGTACCGATATTATAGTCATTGTGCAATATCTGCCTTACGTTGTAAACCGTCGACACACAGTATCTCGTATGTTATAATTTAAATTTTTTTAATTAATTAAATTAAATATTAATATTATGCCACCAAAAAGTGGTTGTCAAAAAAGAAAAGAAAGAGCTCAAAAAGATGCCGAGTTGAAAAAATTACGAGGATCTTTTGACAGATTTCTACCCAACAAAAACGGTACGTACCTATAAAGTAATTTATTAGTATGCGTAAAATAAACTATAAAGTCAAATAAATAATATTGATATTCTTATTGATCTTAATAATTTATATCTGTCTGTTTTTCTTATTGAATAAAAAAAAAATGAATTACTTATTTACTTGATAAAAAATCTAATAATTAATAGTATACCTACCTACAGTGGAAATTTAATAAACTATATCTAGAAAAATAATATTAAACAAAAAACGAATTACATATTCACATTACCTAATATATTATTATTCTTCTTCTTCAGCTTCTCCTTCCTCCCAACTCTTTAGGGTCGGCCAAATTATTATTTTAACAATAAATTAGAGCAGAATTAAAAAAAAAAAAAATGTTAAAGGTATTCCTTCATGATATTATTTTGGTATTCAGTCAACTTTCAAACAAAATTAATTACCTACTTAATTAACAACAAAATATGATTCAAAACAAATATATCTAAATAAACAAATGTTCATGTAATAATTTTTTTTTGATAGTATTAACTGATTAGGTATTTAGGTAGGTACCTATTGATATTTTTGTTTTTGATCATATAATATACAGTAACTTCTTCAAGTGTGTTGATTGCATTGAAAAATGGTGTCCAAGAAAATGTTGGTGACATTTTACAAACTGAAAATAGTGAAAATGCTATTGGTCATTTGTGTAATTCAGATGATTCAGCTTGTCCAGGTATTATTTTATAAAAAATGAATCTAGTATTTCTTATTATTTTAAATATTTTTTATAAGCAAAAATAAATCTGCTCTAGCTGAAAAAGTAATCGACAACAGCACAATTCTTGTTAAATCTACTGCAACTTCTGCGAGTGAGATAACTGCGTTGGAAAGTAGTGTTCAAGAAAATATAAATGAAATTGTACAAACTGAAAATACTATTGGTCATTTGTGTAATTCAAATGATTCAGCTTGTCCAGGTATTATTTATTAAAAAACAATCTGGTTTTTTTGAATTAAAATTTGTATACGAGAAATATTGAAATACCTCATATTCCCTATATTCAATATAAATTATAATACAATTTTGAATGATTATTATAAGATATCATTGTTCATATTTATTAAATTAAATATGGTTTGATATGTTTAATAACCAGTTATCAATAATAAAAATAAAAAAACCTATTATTATAAACAATTAATAACTTTATTAGTATTTAGTTTATGCAATCATTCCCTATTAATTATTAGTGTAATACATTTGCTCATTTTGTCAGCTGGCATATTTGAGAAGTTATTATATTCATTTTGTAGCAGTTTTAAATATAAAGGTATAGTGTGTTATTGCATATTACATGTAATACAGTACCTAATACATTATACATAGATTTATACTTTACACTTTTGATATATATTATAAAGTTCATTTTTTTCTCAAATACATAACTTTATTTTAAATAACAAATAATTACCTATAATATATTATAGGTATTATATTATAATTTATATTGTTACTTAAATTTATATTAATCTTGGTACTTGATTTATTTTACTAAAATTTTATATGATTTTTGTTTTTAGAATTTAATTTAAAAAATGATTACCCAACTGATCGATACCATTTTGATGAGAATATCAAAGACAGTAATCTAAAGAGACTTATCTTAGCATATGGTTCTTGCCGACCAACAATTCAATTTCCATATACTGAACATGAAAATGGCAAATCATATCGTTTTTCTAAACACTATTATTTTATGAAATTGAAATCTGGATTAAGTGTCCCAAGGAAATGGCTGTGTTATTCAGTAGGTTTAGATGTAGTGTATTGTGAGACATGTTGGCTATTTGCGAATCGTGGTTATTCATATTTTAATCCATCCTGGGTTAATGGAGTTAATAACTGGCATTGTCTCTCAGCTAAGATAGATTTACATGAAAAATCAATACAACATATTGATGCTATTAAATTACGTTGTATTTGGGAAAAAAATGAGACTATTGATAAATTAACTGAGCAACAATACTCAAATGAAGCAGCTTATTGGAGAAATGTTCTTAAAAGAATCATAAAAATTATTCTCTTTTTAACATCTGGCAACACAGCATTAAGAGGACATGAACATAAAGGCAAATTTAATGAACATGAATATATAAATGAAGGTATATAATCATTAAATCTACTAATATTTCATATAAATAAATAATTGTATTTTATAATTGTATGTGTTCTAGGTAACTTTATGCGTTCAGTGAAACTTTTAGCTGAATTTGATCCTGTTATGAATGAGTTATTGAATGATGAAAAAAAAAAAATCAAATATCTTAGCTGGAAAGTACAGAATGAATTAATTAGTATACTTGCTACTAATGTAAGAAATTTAATTTGTCAAAAAGTTCAAAATTCGCAATGCTTTTCTATTATTGTCGACTCCACACAAGACATAACAAAAATTGATCAAGTCAGTATAATTTTGCGTTATACAATACTCAACTTTGATGAACGAAGTTTAAGTATTGAAGAGTCATTTTTAGGGTTTTATGCCATTGATAAACATGGTGCTAAGGATTATGAAGATCTTATAATTTCCATTCTTAAGGCATTAAATATTAATATAAGCAAATGCAGAGGTCAAGGGTATGATGGTGCATCAGTAATGAGCGGGCTTTATTCAGGTGTTCAAAAACGAATCAAAGATCAAGTTCCCTTAGCACAATATGTACATTGTTGTGCACACAATTTAAACCTGGTTATTTCAGATGCTGCTAAAAGTTCAAAACAAGTTACATTTTTTTTTGAAACTGTGCAAAGCATATTTAATTTTTTTAGTTCAAGTGCTCCACGATGGTCAATTTTAGCTTTTGGCGAAGCTGATGCCAAAAAAATAAAAGCTAAAGTTCTGAAAAAGTTATGTGTGACAAGATGGGAAGCACGACATGAATCGATTTATTCACTAAAAGTCAGATTTATTGATGTACTGAAAGCTTTAACAAATATATCCTTAACAAGTTCTAAAACCGACGAAAAGAGTATGAGTTTATCTTTGAAAAAAAAATTAGAATCTGTAGAATTTATTTTCCTTCTTTGTTTATGGGAAGAAATTTTAAAACCCTTACACGGAGTGTCTAAGTCTCTTCAAAAAAAAGATACAAATTTACATAATGCATGTGAAAACTTGAAACAAGCTACATCTACGATTAAAGAATTGAGAAATAATTATCATACTTTAATGGAAACAGCCAAATGTATGTGTACAAAATGGGGGATTCCTCAGGAATTTCACGTACATAGATTAAAGTTTGGAAGAAGATATTTTGATGAAGTAGATGGCGACCGTCGATTAGATATTTCAGAAGATAATTTAAGAATCAAGGTTTTTCTTCCAGTCATTGATACAGTAATTTTTCAATTAGATAATCGATTCCAGGGTTTAAAAAAGGTAATTAAATATTTTGATTTCTTAAATCCTTTTTCATTGGTTAATAGCACGGAAGATGATATCATTAAAGCTTCGTATGATTTCGTCAATTTTTATAACGTCGATATTAGTTCAGATTTCACCAGACAACTTTTATGCATAAAAAATTTAATAAATTTGAAAAAAATTTAATAAATTTGAAAATAACTAAAAATATTAAACAACTAGCTATGTTTATTATTGAAAATGATTTTTATACCACTTATAGTGAAGTATTAAGTGCTTGTATTATATATCTCACATTACCAGTAACGGTTGCATCAGCGGAACGTACGTTTTCGATGCTTAAATTAATTAAGAATTATTTAAGAAATTCAATGGGTCAAAATCGTTTGTCAAATATTGCTCTGTTAAACATTGAAAAAGAACAAGCTAATATTCTAGATATGGACAAAATAATCAATCAATTTGCTGAAACCAAAGCTAGAAAAGTTAATATACTTAGTTAAATAATTATATTTAAAATTTAAAATGTTTTTTTTAAATTCATTTTCAATAAATTTTGTAATTTTGTTGTTATTAATTATTATTAAAATATAACCAGAAATAATTTACACAGTATTATTTCGCTGATAATAAATACAAATTGTGTCAGCATTAAAAAAAAAAATTGACTACATATACTTAAAGTAATTATAGGGCCCCAGATTTACTTTGTCTTCAGGGCCCGAAGATCCTAGTTGCGCCACTGGTATTGACCGATTTACACATGTGTGTTGAACGCGTTATATATAACTTATTACGAAGTACAAATTCTAGAGTATTTATATGAAAAAATGGATTTTACTGAACAGAAAGATAAATTAGATATTATAAATGTAGATGTTCAGTTAGTAAAAAAACCATCAAAACATGGATCATTATTACCTGATGCTATACGAGCTATACTAGTTGGTCCTAGTGCATCAGGAAAAACCAATATAATGTACAATCTGATCACACATGAAAACGGTTTAAGATTTGAAAATATTTATTTATACTCTAAAACCTCAAATCAGGAAAAATATGTTTTATTAAAAAAAATAATAGATGATATACAAGGTGCTAATTTTTTCATATTTACAAGTGGTGATAAAGTTATAAAACCAAACTTAACTAAGCCAAATTCTATTCTTATTTTTGATGACGTGATATGTGACCAGCAATCTGTAATTAGAGAATACTTTAATATTTGTAGACATTCGGGTGCTAGTTCTGTATTTTATTTAGCACAAACGTATTCCAAAATACCAAAACAGCTACTATGGGATAACTCAAACTTTTTAATAGTACTGAAATAAGATAACACGAATTTACGACATATATTCAATGACCATTCATCCTCAGATATGAATTTTTAAAATTTCGAAAATGTGTCATTTATGATGGAATCATATTGATTATGGGTTTATAGTCATCAATACAACTCGAGAAATGAATGAAAGAAGATATAGATGCGGTTTCCATGCGTTTATAAAAATAAAATAATTTTAAGTATGTATATATATATAACGTAACATTGTCATTAGTAACATAGCATTATCAGTAGTCATACAACACAGTAATATCCTGTTTATCATTCGCAATGAACAGAAAAAAAGTTTTGTTAAAAGTACCAACTATAATAATAATAATAATAATAATATTTATTGTCACCAAATTATAACATTTTCAAACAATTTATGAGTAACAAAACAAAAAAATTACATTAAAGTACATT